TAATCTTTTTTTCTCTACTCTCTGCTGTATGATCTCGGCTGTGTTTGTACAGAGAAGGAATGCATTGACTTTAGGACTGCTGACCTCAGCTTCACCGTTCTTTTCCCTCCGTGATTGTTTTTGTGCACATAATATGAGCAGGAGTTTTTTTACATGCTGATAAATATATTGTCAGATAGGACCCTGAGAACAGGAACTGTCACCTCAACGTGAGAAGACTCCAGACCACGTAATGTGTCACAATTGCATCCAAACTGAATGTGAAATACTTCATATATTTGTTTTGGTTAAGTTGTCCTTTGTATTTGGGTTCAGTATACTCAACCAAGCACGTGTTTCGGTTCTACAGTCCATCGTACTTCCTTGTGTACTGACATGTTTATGACCACTTTGTATCTTTTGACCTATCGCCTCTTGTTTTATCCCGGTTACATATATTGATTCCTTATTCGTGTCAAAGCATTGAGAGGAGCACGTTGAAGAACAGTATAAAGGGAAAGAAAATTAAACACGAGTGAATAAAGTTCGTTTTTTTTTTTTTTTTTTTTTTTTTTAACGTGACAGAACTTTGCTACGCCCCCGCGTTGAAGAGCGTGCACCCGCTTGCAGGTGTACACAAAGACGACAAAGCGGAAGTGAGCGGATCTCAACAAGGCAGGGCAGCGAGAGCCTGCAAGGAGCTACCACGATGTCGAACAATGACGAAACCCGCTATTGTCACAGATTCTCCTACTTGGTGCTCAAATTTATCCTCTTTTCCTACGCCATCGCTTGGTGGGTAAGTATGTATTTTTTTTGTCACTCTGAATGGACGCGTGTTGCTTTCATCCCCCAAACTTCCCAGCTACTGTTTACGCGAGAGTCGGCGTGACGCTGCGTTGCCGTTTCAAAAGAAAAGTTTCCCACAGGTGACAAGTGTTTCAAACACGACTGTCTACCCCCCGAACCAATAGTAGTCAAGCAACAAACGACTCTCCAACATTTTCCCCGCAAAAAAATGGCCACGCCCTCTACTACACCTTTACCTAACTGCTATCACCTTCAGTTCAGTGTAAACACAAGGAGATTTTCTTGTTTTTCACTTTTTACATCATATTCGTCGACTATTTTAATATTAACCTGCTTCGACGTAAACCAATGCATTTGTTTTATTTTCAGACGTGCTTATATTTACAGTATACATGTGTTGACAAAGATTTCAGTTTTGATTGACAGTCATTCAGGTTGTACAGTGTTTGGAAGGTCACTGTGCACCTATATTTTTACGATCAGGCATTTTTCATTCTATAATACCCAAATACTGACTGTATTCTCTGTTAAATTGTCATTTAATAAAAATAAAAGTGCACCGTAACCTTCCAAACACCCTGTAGTTTGCAGTCGTGTCAACTGTACTGTATATACTTAAGGTTCTGACAATAATAATATTTGTGAGCATAAATAACATTGTACAGTGGTGCCCTGCGGTAAGAATAACCCGACTTACGAGTTTTTTGAGATCCAAACAGTTGTTCACCATTGTTTTTTTTTTTTTTTTTTTTTGCTTTGACGTGCGAGCGCAAACATGATGAAATATGACTCACTTGTCAGCAAGTAGCCGTTGGTCAGATCATGAACAATATTTAAAAAAAATAGATTTCCAGTGGAAGTTTACTGTCAAAGGGAAAGCAAAGAGAATTGTATCTAAAACAACAGCAACACATAGTAACTGTCTTAAACTTGCTATCTTAATACTAACGCATTAGAGGAAACGCCATAGGTGGGTTCATGTATACATGTATGGAACATATACATCGATGGAGCAGTGTCTTAAGGCTTTAGGTAATGAATATTTGAACACAAATGGTGCAGTAACACGCGTTGACAGAAATTATTATACAAGTACATATTTTTTTTCTTTGCAAAAAAACGATTAATGTTGCACCTTACTGAGTCAATTACAGCATTTGTGAAATTCTTCTTCGTTTGTGTCTGCAAATTTTTGTTCAGTGTGCTTTTGCTACCTTTGTTTATTTTGTTACTTTATTGTTATTGTTATTTACATGGTTGTTTTGATTGTTTTTACCTAATGTTCAAAATAAACATTCATTCGTGCATTCCTTTCCTAATCATGAACATTGAAGCAATCTCACAGGATTTACCTTCTCTTGGTGTTGCTGCTGATAACATATCTGATAGAACAGGAGGCAGCATCAGGGACCAGGGCTCACAATATTTGTCTTCTGTTCTCTTGGATAACAGCATTTACATTCCATGAATCGATACGACCTCAATTTAGTCTGGTCTTAATCTATCAGACACTTACTTCTAAGTAGACTTTTTAAGTTTTCAAACTGTGTTCTGGAAGAGGAAAGTTCCCAAGACAGACACTGAACTGCTCAACTAAAGACCCTCAACAATTATTTCCCTTGAGAAGAATTCCAAATACAAAGCACCTTCATGGCTTCATTTTCACAGAAAGAAAAATGTTTTGTGCCAAAGCCTGCAGCTTTATTCTTTCACAGACACCCTAACGGGGTATTTTTGCTGGAACAGATGGCTGATTGACACTTCATGTTCTGTGCTCTTGTGAGATACTTTTGAAGGAGGAGGTGGAGGGCGGTGCTGCTGCTGCTGCAGTAATGCGTATATTATGGCGAATGAATGCTTTCCGGATGAGAGAGGCGAAACAGATTAATGGCGGCTGTTGTGTTGCGCCTTTATGTTCCTGCCGCACTTGGTCTCTGTGGAGTGTGGTTTATCTCAGTGGGATGCACCACACCGTAATGAGCACTTGAGGTCATCTCGTCACTTCCTTCAGGAAGTGCAGACCAACGCAAAGCTTCCAACCCTTGTGTTCATATTTGACCTCGCGATATGCCGCAGCCTTGTTTTGTTATACACTTCATGACAAAATGTCTTCCACATTCTGCATCTGTATGACGACATATGCAAGAAACAAAAACAAACCCATTAGTGTGTGTCTTTGAAATGCTTTCAGACAACCTTGGCTGTGTAATTTCAAATTTGATGGCTGGGTGGCACACTGACATACACAGTAAAAAAAGTCAAACTACGAACATATTTACATCACATTCCAGATAGTAAGCTAATTAAAGTCGGTTTTGTGTTTTCAGCTGATAGGCAGCATGATCCTGGCGATAGGTATATATGCTGAAGTGGAGAGGCAGCGCTACAAGACTCTGGAGGGGCTGTTTCTGGCCCCTGCTCTGATCCTCATCCTCCTGGGAATTGTCATGTTCATCGTTTCTCTCATTGGCGTGTTGGCATCACTCAGGGATAATCTCGTTTTTCTCAAGGTGGTAAGTGGTATGCTGAGCTCTTCGATCACACGGGTAGTTTTTTTTTTTTTTTTCTTGTGTTCTTCAAAATGTCAGCAGTTAAAACACTGGTTTAGGTGTCGATAATAAAGACATGGCGTGAGCTCTGGTAAATCCAATATACGCTGTGGTTTTCGATTACCTTGTCAAAGTTAGAACCAGTGCAACATCAAAAAAGGGGTACTCGATGTCTAAATGATTGATGTTTTATTCAAAACAGTTCATGTACACACTGGTGGTGTGCCTCATCCTGGAGTTGCTGGGAGGAATTTTGGCACTCGTGTTCCGTAACCAGGTAAGTATCGACAAAAAAGGCAATTGTTTCATACAATTTGTTTTATATTGTTGACTACAATTTCAAATGGCAGGATCTTTCTCTGGTTAACTGCATCACACATAAGATTCACTGTCATGCCAGTTAAATACAATTACTCATTAGTGATCTTATCCACGCAAATGTGAAGCTTAATTAAAGCAGTATTTGCTCAAACTCTCCAGTGAACACAAATTGCGTGCACGCTCTCACACTTGTGACAAGGCTTACTCATGTATCATAAATAAATGTTAGTCTGTTTTTAATGGAAACATAAAATGAAAAGCACCATGTGAAGAATCTTCCAAACAGAACTTTTTTGTCTCTTTATGGATGTTTGGACACATGAGCCCGATGTGACCCTGCCCCGCCAGATTGTAGCTGGCAGATGTGGGCCGTCAAACTGTCACATTGCCATTTCTACTTGATTGGGTCAGTCACCTTGGCAGACCAGGACATGCTGTACCCAGACAACTTTACCTCTCTGGCATTAATTTGGACAACGATTGAAACATGACGCTAATATTGCTACCTTATGTACACATCCAAAGAGTTTGATTTCTTCTTTGTCTTGTGGTCCAGACAGTGGATATATTAAACAAGAACATACGAAGAGGCATAGTTAACTACTACGATGACTTGGACTTCAAAAACATCATGGACTCCGTTCAGACCAAGGTACAGTTACATTTTCCTGTGCATCACAAGAAAAAGTGTTGAAAGCACAAGTTATACTAAAACACCATCAACAATCCTGCTCAGCAGTGAGCTTTAAAAAACAAACCAGTGTTTGGTTGAGTACACTTTGAATGTTGCAAATTTACATGCAGCCGTTACTTTGTACCCCTATTAAATGGCCCGAAGCACATTTTATGACCAGCTTTTATCAATCATATTAAAATGAATAATCTGCCAGCAACAACATCTCATGCATTGAGATTAGGCAGACTACCAAAGAATCCACTGAAAAATAATTTTTAAAATTACATAATCTGTTCTCAAATAATGTGCAGTTGTCGTACGGTAATTAAAACAAGAACAAACAAGTATTTGTTTTTGTACTAGTAGATAGTTTCATAATATTAGTGATGATTTGCCGCGATTTACATATGATCTGATTAGTCGACTAGTCACGACTACTGTTTGTGATTAGTGGACTACCAAAATAATAGTTTGTGTTGGATTTAGACCCTGGCGAGTCAGTTCCTGCTTCAGTAATGTCAAGCATGTGTGCGCTTCCACCGCCCTGATTTGATTGTTGAACACATAAACACATTACAAGATGGAAATACAAATTGCAAGAAAGACAAAACAATCTGTTTTCATCAGCGATTTTAATGGGAATGAGGGGAGCACATTTGCTTGCTGTGTTCCATCTCGCAGCCATGTCAACACACACTTATGCCAAATTCTGCCTGTGCAAAGCCTAGGAAAATATCAAAAATAAGAACACCACTGATGTGCATTTTTACCACAGGTTTTGCTATTTTATCCACAAGTAAATATGAATTCGCGAAACTGGTTAAGTATTGTTATAAAACACAATATATGTGTACTGTACTTTTATAATTTGGCCGGGAGTCATCTGTGTCTCGCTTTTTTAAAACCCAGAAATTAATTTTTCGCGTGTCTGAGCGCTTCTGTGCATTTGTCTCGTCACCACATCCTGCACCCGCAAAACCAGCGACCGAGATTCGGCCACTCGTGAAATCTTTTGGCAGAACCCCGCACACTGCCCAAGTGTGCAGTGGCGTTCCATCGCATTGGGAAGTGTGCCTTAAGTGGGGCCCTGGGTGACAGTTTCTGTCACACCCAGTGAATATTTATTTCAAGCTGACCTTTCCCTCTATTCGTTTTCTGTATTCCAATGGAAATGTGACATTTACTGTCAAACGACCCAGACGGTGTGTTTCAAAATTAAAAGCATAATTATCATATGTGTCAAAAACACACAGGAAAGGTTGAAACCTTGGTGTTGTAATCCATTTTATTACAATTTAAAGTACAGTGTTCCTTCGCCATATTGCAGTTCAGTTATTGCGGCTTCACTCTCGGGGCTCGAAAGCGCGACCACTGCGCTCGCAAATGCTCCTGTTTGTTCAACGTGTGCTAGTAAAAATGTCTTCTGGTTGCACAGCGCGATTGAATGTTACGTATAGTGAAGGTGCTCCAACTCTGTATCCAAGTGTCAGACTGCACACAGAAGGTAGTTAAATCCTTCCTGTATAAATTAAAGAAATAAATATCACAATCTGGATGCTCTAGCACGCCCGCGAACCTCATGAGGATAAGCGGCTCAGATAATGGCTGGATGAAATCACAGCAAAAGAGAAATTGAAATGATCAATGTAACAGTGTAGGTAATATGTTCAAAAAGTAGGAGGAAGTACTGTATATACTTAGCTGTTCCGATTTCCGTATATTTATTTCATTATGAGGATAATCCAGTCTTTAGGTATATTGATATACTACATAAAATAATACACAGGGCACATATTGAGACAAACAACCATTTGCACTCACAATCACATTTAGGGATCATTTAGAGTGTTCAATCAACATCCCAGTGCATGTTTTTGGAATGTGGGAGGAAACTGGAGTGACCGGAGAAAACCCACATAGGCACTGGAGCGAACATACAAACTCCAAACAGGAACACAGGGGCCGGATTCGAACCCACAAACTCTGCACTGCAGTGTTGTTTTTGGCAGCCAATGTAAATGTAGTCTGAGTCTTCGTCTTTTGGGAAAAATTCTTGTTTTAGTCATGTTTTAGTCATTCCTCCGTGATGGTTTTAGTCGACAAATACTCAAACAGGTTTTAGTCAGTTTTAGTTTAAAATAAACATGTTTCCACCCAATAACAAAGACTTTCTCATCTACTAAGGAATTTGCATTACAGACAGATAAAGTGGTAACAGTGGAATCAATGCTCATTACTCCAAAATAAGCCGAGAACCAAAACATTTCTCATTATCGTCATGAACATAAAGGGTCGGTAACGAGATAATTTTGTCATATTTGACGAAAACAACACTGCTGCGCTGTGACGCTGACGTGCTAACCAGTCGACCACCATGCCTCCCTATGTTTTATTAATCCGTAATATTTTATTCCATTTTCAATGTATCACTCACCCATCAATATAATAGTTCCCTCATTCAATTTACGATACACCTTAGTCTTATCTTCCCCATAAAGGCAAAGTATTCAATTCATATAGCATTTGTGCTGTATGAAATGGGAGTACTGTTGTACCGCCAAAATAAAAGGAGGATGTGAATCGTCACTGCCTTTTTTGCTGGTTCAGGCACATGTGCTGCTGAGTACTTGATTCATCAGCCTCATTGTGCGTGGGAAGAATCCATTCATCACTTCAACTGATACATTGTTTGGATACATTAGAGCGGCTGCACTGCTGGGACTCCCATTCCGTGGAACTTGATTAGTTCTTTTTTTGTCCGTGTACTTCCTTGTGACTTTATGGATAAGGTGTTACAGCGTGCAATCATTGGCCTTTCCAGCTGCATGGTTTGATCACAATCCACTTTGTATTTCTTCTGCGTCAGTAAACCCTCACTAAGAATATCCTCCTCCAAGAACTTGACCATTACCATCTCATTAAAATGTGCACACACTGATTTGTCTGTCACCATCATCTTTCAAATCGGAACATTGTGAGGAACAAGAACCTTCATATGCACAGAAAAAAAGGGAATAATTCTTCATTTGTGAACCCGTTTGAGTGGCTCCTTTGCACTATATCCCCATGCACAAACCGTATTTACACATCACAGATTGACTTGTAAATAGGGTCTCAAAATTAGAACGATTTCAAGAGCTGTCTGTGTCTTCTCTTTTTTTTTTCACCCAAATGATGTTCTAACCAGCGCAAAGCATTTTTGGATTAAAAAAAAAAAAGACATAAAACAGAGTGCTGGGCCTTCATTGTCTGATTTATTAAATTTCAGAAGTCTATCTGTAGCGGTATCTCTGGAACTATTTTCATCCATCCTTCCATTATGTGAGCTGCTTATCCTTACGAGTGTCACGGGTGTGCTGGAGCCTATCCCAGCTGTCTTGGGGGGGTAGGCGGGGTACACTCTGAACTGGGTGCCAGCCAATCGCAGGGCACACATAGACATACAACCATCCACGCTCACAATCACACCTGGAGACGATTTAGAGTGTTCTATTAACCTGCCATGCTTATTTTTGGAATGCGGGAGGAAACCGGAGTGCCCGGAGAAAACCCACGCTGGCACGGGGAGAACTTGCAAGAAGGGGGCTATTCAATCCGCGAGCGAAGCTGCAGAGAAGGCAATAAAGTGGCTTTGGGTCAAATATACAATTTGTTAAAATGGCTGCAGCAACGGGTTATTGCTTTCTTTGATTGTATTTTAGTAATCAATCAACTTAATGACTTGCATTTCACACCGAACATGTTTTCGGGTGGGCAATTAGGCCCAAAGTTAATCCTTAGTCTGCTAGTGAAGAGCCAGTCATCAGTCAGTCTGTCAGGCCGGCGGGCTGCTAGCGTGCTTTGAAAATAATGTATTCCTTGTGCAGAGGCATGCTTGAGGATTACCTCCCAGGAAAGGATATCTGGAGTAATCCAGCTGTGAATGAAACAATGGGCAAGAGTCTTACTCTGTCCAATCATTCTTCAGGGACTTCAGCCTTGGTTGTGTTGATGTTGGTTTTAAGAGACGGACATCCCACTCTGATTTTATGTGTCACTACATTCCCCTCAAACTGATGGGCATCAATCTTCTCACCATCGTCATTCACAGCAAAGCTATAGTATTTTATTGCGTTGTTGTGTCATGTTTAGTTTCTTTGTTGTTGTTTTTTTTGCTGTGATAGACAGTAATTGCACCAGAACTGCTATGGGTCCCACTGCTCCTGGGGGGCAAAAAAATAAAAATAAAGCAGTGTTGTGAGGAGCGATGAGTTGAGAGAATAACTTGATGGTATATTTGCATCATGTCTGCGTACTGATCACAGTGCTTGGCAAAGAACGGACTTACCGAATGAGACTTTATTCCTTTCTTTTTCGCCCATCCTTTAAGAACGATGTTGTCTCTGTGACACGTCTCATTTGTCCTTTTCCTACATCCTATTCGGTTCACTTTCCCTGCTTCTGATAAAATATTTATCTGGTATATGGCCAACAAAGCAGCGCTTGTGTCGTGCTGCCAAGTTGCTCTGTTCAAAAAGTCAGCGGGTGTCTCAATTGTTGCTTGATTCAATTTGCCGAGTTTGTTCTCAGTTGTTCCCATTAGGACAATATTCGCATGGCGGGCGACTTCATCAAAACAACTGCTGCGATTGAATTTGGCTGGTCTCTTATGTTGTCTCAACCAAACTAGAGTTGACTCTGTATATTTCATTTTCTCTGTCCATCGAATTCTGCTTTTTCTCCCGGCACAAACTGTTACTGCCAGGTCTTGATAAGCGTGTTTTTTTTTTTTTTTTTTTTTGTATTTCTCCTGACCAACACCAGTTATGACCAAGTGAAGAAGTTGTCAGTCTGCAAAGATTTCTCAGTTTTTTGTGTCATTCAGGATACCTTAGTACAAAAACCTTCCTCCGTGTTTAATAAACTGTTAACTTCCCCTAAAGTGTCTCTGGTATATACATCTACAAACTGACTCAACACTGAACAAGGAAGTGATTCACTGCTGCCCATTCACGGTAGCGCCTCCACAAACCTGTTAGCTTGCGAGTTAGCTTGTGGCTAGCGCCTCGTTTTGCACCATGGATAGCCCTTCAAACGACCTGGTAGGATTTATTTCAGTGACCGGAGACTTGAAGCAGATATATACTTGCGGTTTAAACATGTTGGTATTTGTAGGCATATAAAAGATTATCGGCAAAGTAGCATTTACAGCATTTGGGAAAGGAGAAAATTGATTTATTTTTCTGGATTTTTAAGACTTGTTTTATGTACTTTTTTTGAACAATTCAAATTTGGCAGGTTTGTTTACAACCCTCTGTGGTCTGTCAAATTTACAAGGTATGTTTAGTTTCAATCTTTAAATATCTGCTGCTTGCTGCAGTTGAGTTGATCAAAAACCTCTGGGTGTCACTGTATTTGAGGAAATTATTTGGGTAGCACTGTGTAGTAGGTTCAGCTTTTCTTTTATTTTTATTATGAGTTTGATTGTATATCCAGTCATTTACTAACTTGCAAAAAACATAACTTGCAATAAATGTAGTATAACACCATTAGGTGATTTATTTATTTATTTTTTTTAAATCCGCGTGTCTGTTCTCAACAGGAAATGTTCTGATTGATGTTGTCCTGTTGATTTCGACTTCCCTCTGAGCATGATAACCACTTGGATGCTGGGTTTTCTCAGTGCCATAGAGGGATAAACTCAGGGTCTATAATGGCATGCAAATTGTCTTCATTGTCTCCTTTCTGGCATGCTGCCAAGTACATCTGAAGAGTTCTGTTGACAATTTTTCTTCTCAATCTTTTCCTTTCTGATTAGTTTTAATAGCGAACTTTCTCTGTCATCTGTTTTTTTTTTCCCTCAAAAGTTTAAATGTTGCGGTGGGCAAGGGTTTCAAGACTGGTCGGTCAACATGTACCACAACTGTTCTGCACGGGGTCCACTGTCCTGTGGAGTGCCTTATACCTGCTGCATCACGAAGGTGAGTAGCATTTTTCAATTCTTTTTATGAGCAACATGGCACAAATATGTTACATCACAATGTGCGAAAACTGCAGAGATGTCACCATTTGTTTTTTTTTTTTTTTGTTTTTTTGCCAGTTGTGTTAATGCTCTCTCCAGAAGTTCAATAAATGAATCTGTGATTTTTCTCGAATAGGGAACGAGCCCTCCTGTGATTGTTTACATTTTAAGATGTATTTTTCTTCCTGAGGGGTCCGTTTTTAGTAGTTGATAATATAAAATATTGAACTACGCTATAGCTGTCTAAGTTTTCCATACAGATGCTTTAAAACCGACAATTTATTAACAATGTAAAGTCATGATGATGATCACGAGGTTGTTTTCCAAGACCACCGTCTTTATATCGAATCAGGTTTTGAAGATCAGCATGAGCTTCTCGCTTGTGCGTCGTACTTGGCTGGATGGAGCTTTTTACATCCACCTGCCTCACTGAGTTCAAAAGATTTTGTCTCAAAGGAACAGTGCCGCAGTAGCACTCATTCCATTGTGCTCTTAACCCGGGCCACGTCAATATATTGCTGTGAATCCATGGACTGTTTTATAGTGACACTAATCACAGACAGTTATGGTGGTCACATCGTATTAGTGACTGGAAATCAAAACCACTCAAGGAAAGGAATTGGTTCAAGTGAAGCCAAGGCTCGAACTCGAGAAAATTACGAGAGCGTTGACACCCTTGCTTTATTCCAGGCTATCAACAGTGCCTGTAAAGAGCATCGTTTCATCTTTCATGACAATGTGTCTGCAAAATCCCAGAACCTATGGTTCACTTTGTTTATATCATTATAGTAATGGCCATAATAGTGTGGAGTTATGTTTCAAATACATCTCATGGATCATAACGGTGAGTACGCCTTTTCTATGCAGGACGCACACGCGGGTAATTAACGCCCCCGCAAAGCAACAAATGGTATGTCTGGTACCACATTCATATAAACACCAGAACTTTCCGCAGCTAAAGTGAAAAAAGGAACAGTTTGTTGTTTGCTTGTATTGACGCTCATCTTATTCCACATTCTGGGGTAAAAGTTTGCGTCTAGCAATGCCCGCTGTCTCCACACTATTACTTGTTCCAACATTTCCAAAGTTACTCTGGTACGCCGAAGGCCATTACTTGCACACCCTCCTCCCTCTTTCCTTTAGTTTTCTGCTCCCAATAAAACTCAGTTTTCACGGCTCTGAGAATTAGCACAAATGACCATCATGTGCAGAGTAATAAATGAAAGTCACACACCGCGTGGAAATTCATCCCATCTGTTACTACAAGCTGGCACTCGCACACGTTGACTCACAGGGCGGGAGCGCAGCTGCTCTCTGTGTAGGCATGCCGGAGTGAATTGAAATGCTCATTTGATAAGGTTATGTCCGGAAATTCATCATCCTACTGAGTCATTTGTGTAGATCGGGGGTGGTCAACCAGTCAGAGATGAAGAGACAATTTTTTTACTGTGTCACTGCAAAGAGCCACATCTCACACACACACACACACACACACACACACACACACACACACACACACCTCTGCTCAGGCAGATTTATTGTAAATGTCACACACCAACATAATGACAGAAATTGACTCCTCCGGTACTAAGACCACAGGCCAGTCATTTTCAACAATGAATATTGTGTGCAGTGTCTCACACACACAAACTCTCAGTTCAACCAAGTCCACAAAGAAAAATATAACAACGTTTTTCCTCGTAGTATGCATGTTGCTTAGCGCCTTAGTGCAAGGACTTCTGTCTTTCCTTCTCTCGAACAATCCTCTTCAAACAATCCGATCGCGCACATGCAAGCATACAGTATATGCATGCACGCACGCGGGTGCCCAACCATGCACACGCGCGCATATGCACGCACGGCACGATGAGCAACAGCTGGAACGGCCCCTAACATGAACGAAACCGAAGCACACAGCCACACAAATCTCCAAAACTCTCCTTGTAAAATCGACTTTTCTGAGAGAAAAAAACGGGACGGTGGCTCCAAATTCTTTTCAGTATGAAGTATACTCTGAATATTTTACTCTAAAATATTACTGTACTCCGCTTTGACTTGGACCAAATATAATCTTGATGATGATTGATTGAATATTTGTCTCAAACAAGCACAAAAAGGAAGACAAGATGAGAAATCGCCCACTGTGAGAAGATGCAAGCTTGAGAAAGGGGCTGAAGGGAGCAAAGCTTATGAAGTTCAGCCCCCGCGTACATTACAATCATTTCAACATCCATTACAGTCTAATTATGTGCCATTGGAAAGAATTTACTCTGTTTGATCTCCAGGCTGAATTGCCACCAGCAGGGAAACATTTCATGTGACGTGTGCATGCTTATTCTCACCTTTTATTTGCATTTTTTTTCCCTTGCTTGTATGGAAGAATTTCTTTGATGCAATATTATTCGGATCCGCGCTCCTCCGAATCATATCCTAAGTGTTGCAGCTAATCCGATGATTAAATGCTGTCGAAGCGAGATGCGGGGGAAAAAAAAAAAGATTCACCCTCTGCCCTTCATGTCCTCTTCTGTGCCAGATGGCCAGATTGCTCGGAGCTCATCTCGGGGATATTGATTTGAATGTTTGTGGCAGACATCGTTGATTTATTCTTTTTATTTTACAAGGTTTTGTCGCATTCATTTTTAATGATTCTGATTTTCTACCTTCTTCCCTTTTCTCCTCAACAGTCACTTGAAGTAGCAAACACATTGTGCGGCTACAAAGTATTGGAACAAGAGGTAAGGCCGATGAATGAGACTCATGAATGTCAAAACTTGTTCTATTGACAGATGCAATATTGCAAGTGCGCTTGAGCATCATTTAAAAGTGGCAGCTTAAGGCAAACATCATTAAGTCAGTGTGCATTCATGCAGTGAGTGCATTTAGCAATCCGGTGTCACAGCAGCGCTGCACCTGTATTTACTCTGTCATTGAAATACATTGGAACCTCTAGTTATGAACGTCTCTTTAAACGAAATTTTCAAGTTACGAAACGCCTCAACGGGAAAATATTGCCTCCTGTTACGAAAGAAATTTCAAGATACGAAAGGTAAAAATACAGCATCGGCGGACGGCTGCAGCTCAGAGTTTCCTGAACGCAACATACTTATTAGCTGCTCTGCCATTGGCTATTCCTGAGCATCTTCCTGGCATCCCATTGGCTAAGAGGGACCTCTGCCGTATGTGTCTATATGCATCGATGGATAGATATGTGTTTATGCAGCGTCCTGGTCATTCGCCCCTAGGGCCATGAGGTGTTCCGATAGTTTTATGTGAATGTAAATCACCCGGAAAAAGTGTTTACCAGTCGGGCGATCGGTCACTATGTTGATGGTTGCCTTTTCGAAGGATTGTTAAAAACCGACAAAAGCAAACATCCTTAAATCAGTTCTTGACAAAACGCCAGGCTAAAACCACTTCTGAGAGAGAACATGGACTAAAGAGGGCAAAAAAACGATGAGGACGCAGTTAAAAGTGAAATGACCATTTTTATTCTTGACGCTAATCATTATTTTTTACGTTATGCACAACTCTCATTTATTGTGCAATAATCTAGTTGTAACATTAATTTGTTACATATTTTTATGCATTTTTATGCTTTATAAGACATTTATGTTAGAATTTTGGGGGGACTTGGAACGGATTAGGGCATTTACATGGAAAGCGCGTCTCTACTCACAACATTTTCTAGTTAAGAAATTCCTTCGAGAACCAATTAATTTCATTAGTAGACGTGGCACTGTGCTCAATATCTTTTGCCCTCCCCAAATTCTTTCTGACAAACCCTTTTCCAGAGAATCGTTTGGTCACTTGGTGTCTCTTTTAGTTGAGGTTTTGATTCGTGATCTCAGACTATTGCCGATGAGATGTCAGAAAAGTGTCACCATCCCAACGCCCCTAATCACAATGCCCTGAGCACCTGACAGTTCCGGGAATGAGAAGAACATGGCCACCCTGTCACACCGGAGCAACTTCCCTGCACACCTGACTGGGCGGCATTTATTTATTTGTTTATGTATTTAAAACTCATTCCCAAGCTCATAGGGCCAGCAAGGGGATGCAGCTTGAAGATGTGGACAACATCAAAATGGCCGTTGCGAGAATATTTTTTTTTTGTGACACCAGACCTGCCAACTTTTCTGAACTTTGTGAAAATCTCATCACGACAGGGTGAAAAACAGCAGCATTGTTCTCATTAAAATGTATTTGCAGGCTGCCCGTTGTTTGCCAAAGCGGTGTGTGTACGCGGTGTCACAGGTGGCGCTTGAACCAAGACCATTATCTAATCAGAAAACTGAAGAAAATCATTTCCAGTAAAGGCGGCACACCGTACCAAATGGCAAATTTAATGAAGAGGATTCGTATTTGTGTGCCGATAAATTCTCTTGAATGCAAGAATGCGAGACTTAAAACAATTAAAGCTAAAACTAACAAGGTACCGATTGGTTGGCACGTTTGTCCTCCTCATCTGATGTTCTTTTCCTTCGGTTTGGTTGTTCTTCCGCTGTGGCTGCCTCGTTAGCGCTTGGACCTGATAGACACCATCCACATTAGAGGCTGCACCGACGCCTTCTTCATTTGGCTCACGGACAACTACAAGATTATGGCAGGACTGCTTCTCGGGATCCTGCTGCCTCAGGTACACCTACACACACACCACACCGTATCAATATTTTCATTTCATTTTACTCTGTGTACATTCCATGCTTACGCAGTGGCAATCGGGTGAAACTCACACAGAAGCCCACATTTCCAAATGGAACACGACCGGCAGAAAATGTAACTTTTTGGGAGGTTTGGGGAGCATATTCATTTCAAACAAGCCTCCATATTCAACAGTCTGTGTAAACCGAGTAAATGACTTGGTGGGTTTCACTGGCCAACATCTGTTGAGTGAAATGCATTTCATGCTCATTAAGTTCATTTCTGACTCTTTTGCATTTCAACAGTTTGACTGGTCAGTTGGAAAATGCACACTTTATTTAAATTTCACATTTTTTCAGTAGTTACCTTTTATAACTGTCAAAAAAAAATTCATAAATGGTAACTTGAGTCATTGCCACATGGATTTGAGTCAAACTGAGAAAATGTTTGATGAGTATAATATAAAACTCTGGATGTTACTTGCGACATTTATGAGGAGTTCGCCATGCAGGTTTGACAAATTGGCCAATAATCTCATTTTGTGATCTCACTTGTTTTCTCTCTCTCGTGACTTGACCTAACATCAGGTGTGAGATAACCCGTGACTTGACTCGCCTAATTGGCCACAATAACTTAAAAATTAAGAATGGAGACTTGATCCCATCTCTGCCATCTGTTCACTTTGCAGCCATAATTATGGCAATTTCTTTTTACATTTAAGAGCTTTTGACTGGATATGTGTTGCAGATATCTGTAATTTAGTTTTGCTTCATCACCAACAAAATGTCAGGTATCGACAGGTTCTCCGCAACGGCCATTTCAGATTTCCACAAAGACATTCTTCCTCGGACAAATGACATCACTTTTAGCATCCGTGTGTAAAATCTCACACCGCAGGTGCGTTTTTCAAAATACAAGCCGTCGACTGGACGATTTTTGCTTGTGCAAGTGAAACGTGAGATATGAGCGCTGTACGGTGGCAAGGGACTCAACTCACTTCACCTAAAGTGACAGTTTTGCAGATATGATCAAGTTGTTTATTGCCACTGTTGGCTGAAAGTTACCTAAGAAGACGATATTACAGTAGTCACAGGCATATATTCTTCATCCTCTGCAATGAATGACTAATATTCCTGCTGTACTGAGAAGCCAAGAGAGGAGCATTTTCTCCAAGACAGCATATCTCTCTTATTCTGCCCCCATAATTCTATTTTTATTATTACTTCATGTTTGTTTTAAGTATGATGTTGTAGACTGCTATTTTTCTCATTACAAAAACACACGACAGTCAATGTTTTGTTATATTTGGGGAGGCATTTCTGTTCATTTCAAAGGGAAAAGATGATTTGAGTGTTTTGTAGTTACAAGTGCGGTCAAGGAATGAGTAAAAATCATATCTCAAGAATCCACTTTATCGGTTAGCATTTGATGTTTAAAAATGGCTTCTGCTTTTCTGGGAAGACTTGACTGGATAATGTATTGCGCTGCGCTGGGAATAGAAAAGGCCCTTCGGCAAACTTTTGAAGTTTCAAGTGTTGACGTATTTAAGACGTGGCCGTCTGGTCCCTTCATTTTGTCTCCTTAGTTCTTTGGCGTAGCAATCAGCTGGTTGTACATCACCCGGGTGGAAGACGCCATCAGCGAGTATGGTCACTACACGGACGGCCTCCTGGACTCCAACGCGCAAGGCAGGCACGTCAAAAGGCAGGGCCGAATGGCCAAGTGGTTTATGTGTATGCCTGAGATTGACTGAAGAGCAGTGAGCTGGCAGCTGATGCTCAATTGAAAACCCCCACTCAGGCAAGCAATTTCATCTCAGACTCAAATCAAATCAAGTCAACAGAACTGATTTCCTCTCACCACTCAGGGACAAACACCATAAAGTGGCACACTGAACGAATCGAGACTTCTCCCTCTACCCGTAGAGCTCTTGAAGTACAGTGTTACTTCGCTTATCATTGCAACACCAAGCGGCACATGCAAAATTTCATACTATTTCAACAAATATGCAACGCCACAACGCCTCAGCCGCTCATCTCATCAGTTGAGCCGAGATCTGAAAACACCCTGAGGATCTCAGGGTCATAAAGGGAAAAACATTTTTTGTATATTACTATTTATTGCGTGAACTTGTAGGAATGCTAAATTGTTTTCCTTTGCACCCCCCCCCCCCCATTGCACATCCACACAGTGTTGTGTGTCCATGTCTTGACTTGATGCCCGCAGTTCTGGTTATCTGTAAGTGACCAAGATGAAGTATATTAGGGATAATATTTGGGAATATTAATATACGAGACTGGGTTTTAAAATTGTGCTCCTCTACCACTGAACCTGTGTGATAAGTGAAAACAAAGCAGTGTGACTTTTAAATGGGCTCTCTTTTAAATCCGTGAAAGTACTTGGATTAAATTGCAAGGTTACAATTGCATTAACTGGAAGAGTGCTTCTCAAACTTTTTACAATTACTTTTGGTCTCCAAGTACCACCATCACCATTATTATTGCAAGCTAATTAAATACAATTTTCACATTAACATTGTGCTTGTATATTAAAAAAAACAGAAACAAAAGAACTGTAATTATTCAAGTGTACTTGACTCTACATAAAAACAAATTACCGTAATGTACTTACCGTATTTTCCGCATGATAAGGCGCACTTAAATGCATAAAATTTTCTCAAAGGCCGACAGTGCACTTTGTAATCCGATGTGCCTTATATATGGCTGAATATTCTGATTACTTGGACATATTATTTAAAATGTTCTGTAAAACGCTTTGTTACAGCTGCAGCGGTTATGAAAGCACTATGCAAATAAAGCTGTATTGTATTCCCTTTAGCGTAGCTCTATCAAGTGGATGCATCACGCAACCGCAGTAACTACAGTAGCTTCTATTCTATGTGCCTTATAATGCAGCGTGCCCTATATATGAAAACACTTTTAAATTAGGCCATTCATTGAAGGTGCGGCTTATAATCCGTAGCGCCTTATATTGCCGAAAATACGGTACATATGCTTTAAAACAAACAGTTAAAGATTCAAATAAAAGTATTGCACTTAAAAGTTAAATACAACTGAACTTTACTGTACTTGGGCAGGAGTTTTTTTTTACCTACTACTAGAGAGAGCCCATGTACTGCGAGTACCACACTTGGCGAATACTGAACTATAACAAAGTGTACATATGAAGCGACAAGTGCGCAAGTTCATACATCCTGTAGATTGAATGCGCTACTCAGTACTGAATAATGTGGCTTTGACGTAGTACTAAAATTGATGTGAATGTGACTGTTTCCTGAATTTGTCATTTTTTTCCCCCCAGTATATTTTTTGTCCCCTTTTTGACCTCATTTCATCTTAAATCATCCCTTTATAACATGACACGGCACTCCATCAGCTTTTAAAAGCATTCATTTGGCATTGTTTTTATGCCTCCCACTTGTTGTTCCTGTTTTGCTTTGAGACTTTTCTAATGAATTTTAATGGTGTGTGTTGAAGATGTAATTGGATAATGATGATGTATGCAAGTTGCAAATTGTTTTTGGCTCTTTGCATGCAGAAATGAAGTGAAATGAAGTAAGGCCGGCTTGTGTGGTTTTTGACTTCACTGCTTTGGGAGTGGAGGACCACTAAGATTAGATTTCTGACACCACGCTGAAATACCATCATGAGTCGCTTGACTTAAACGTCATGCAAAATTTAACAATGTTTCCAACAAAATCTTGGACTAAGGCCTTACGTCCAAACAAGATACTCACGCTTATTGCAATGACGCAATTATAATTAGGTTGTATTACATCTTCAATTCAATGAAGCTCGAGATGATAGTACATATCCAGGCACCTGCAGTCGCACATGGCATTTGTGGAAATATTAAATATCTAGCAGATGTCAGCTGAGTTGGACTGTTGCACACAAAACGCTTAACGAGCGGATCGTAAAAGGTGCTCAGGAGTTATTTTATATTCCTATTTTTATTTCTCCATGACTGCCCCTGCTGCTCATTTGGCTTTCCACCAAATGGAGTCTTAATTAATATTTTAGGCAATGCTACTACTCTTTAAATCAGCAACAAGGAAGAAGATGTTATTTTAAATGGTCCGGAGTTAATAGTCATGCTTTAAAAAAAATAACAATGAACCGATTTCGTATGTCACCCTTTAATTCCAGTTGGTTAGGTTCCAAGCTACCGGTAATTGGTTTCTGCCCAAGGTGTCCAAATGAAACAGTAGTGGTCCAACCTTCTGCTTTGCAAAATGCAGAACCATGAGAATGAGACGGCCTCTCATGCATTCACGCACGGGTCATGTGTTAGTCAGTCACCAAAAAAGTCACCAGAACACAGTGTGATCGTGAACCAAGCATATGAGAGCAGACCACGTGTTATCCGCAACACTCATTCAGTGTCTTCAATGTATTTTCATTGCATTATTTTTCATACAAAACAGGAAACGTGTATTTGCAGAGACCGCAATGTATCCCACCAGAAGCCAAGCCGATACAAAATAGGATGAGAAGGCATGAGGTTTGTTGTTGTTCTCAGTGGGAAAGTTAGTCACTTCTCTCATGCTCATACAGTTTGTCCCGAAGCCATGATTCACTTCCTTTTTTTCCCCGTTTTGTCTCGGGTCTCATTCGGTCAGACCTGAGGCCAGCGGCATATGACAGTTGAAGCTTTGCAGTTTTTGGAAGCATAACATTCCTTTTGCCTGTGGCGTGCCAATTGACATTGGAGCAGAGTTGCAAAATTGCCACCAAGCAAGATGTGTTTCCTGTCACCGACTGCAGTTCAATCGAGTTCGGCACCTTTCATCAGTAGTGGCTGGAGCAAGTCAATCGCTGCTTGGTATGTGAAAAACAGGTCTTGCTTGGAGAAGCTTACCATGAAGAGCATAATTTGCATCACGTCTTGGAACAATGCGACAGCCATTAAGTCTCTCTCTCTCTCTCTCTCTCTCTCTCTCTCTCTCTCTCTCTCTCTCTCTCTCTCCTGTATATATACTGTATATATTAAGTATAGGCGGCCCGGTGGTCCAGTGGTTAGCGTGTCGACCTCACAGTGCAGAGGTACCGTGTTCAATTCCAGCTCCGGCCTCCCTGTGTGGAGTTTGCATGTTCTCCCTGGGCCTGCGTGGGTTTTCTCTGGGTACTCCGGTTTCCTCCCACATGACAAAAACATGCATAGCAGGTTGATTGAACACTCAAAATTGTCCCTAGGTGTGAGTGTGAGCGCAGATGGTTGTTTGTCTCTGTGTGCCCTGCGATTGGCTGGCAACCGGTTCAGGGTGTCCCCCGCCTACTGCCCGTAGACGGCTGGTATAGGCTCCAGCACCCCCCGCGACCCTTGTGAGGATAAAACGGATTGGAAAATGAATGAATATTAAGTATAAATGCATATATAAACTGCTCCAAAAAGTAAAAGGGAACACTTGGAGTTATATTGTGCTGTTTAAGTACTCCCTTTATTTATTTATTTTTTGAGCAATACATACACTTTTAACATAAAGGAATAATTGGACTAATGAGCAAAAATACAAAAAACATAAGATATCAAGATAAAATAAGGGATGTTTATGTTACAACATTTCTGTGATTGAAAAGATGTGCAAGGAGATTATCAAATATATCTTAAGCTTGGTTTTAAAGTTGCCGAGTGAGTTCCCCGAGCTATGTTCATGAAAACCGACAGAGAACCGTGCGACACAATCGGGGATTGAAGCCGATTTGCAGACCTTGTATTGAGATGATGAATGACTCTGTTGAAAAAGAAATAAAATAATAAAAAACTTATTCAGTGTGAGGATAAATGTGAGGACTGAAACGACTGGGAATCAACATGCAAATTCTATATTTGTTTATATTAAAGATCGGTAAGAGATGCAATTGCTTGAAGAGAACAGCAAAGTTACCATTAAGTCGCAGTCCTGCAAAATCTTGTTTGTAGCATAGGTGCAGTAGAAAAGATTGTCACCTTGCATGCCTTCTGTCTCTGATTTGTTTTTCCTTGGGTGTCGCGGTTTCTCCAAAATCAAATTCAAGCCAAGATGGGGCCAGGGAGGAAAAACACATCCCAGATCATTTTAATGACATATTCCTGTCATGTTATACTGACAGTTTCAACAAATCTGACAAAAAGTAGGGTTTTTTTCCCCCCAATATAATTGCCCATTTACGAAAAACAACAATACTTAATAGACCTCACCTGTATCACCACCATCACTCTCACTCGCACCCAATTTCCACTGATTCAGCGACATGCTAATGAATACACTGTCGATATAATCTTAATTGGCATCTGAGTTAGTCGCCCGACAAAGATTCAAATCACATTCGAGTAAATGTTTTTTTTTTCCACATTTCAGCTACCATTAGTTCTAGTTGAATGAGGCACGATCAAGCCACATCAGTTTAAGAGATAACAACAACAATATATATGTGTGTGTGTGTGTGTGTGTGTGTGTGTGTGTGTGTGTGTGTGTTACACTTAAAGACATGACACATTTTTGTGTGGTACTCTTCTAAATCTATCATGATAAAGCTGTTTCTGGATACCTAGGTTGGCAAAATTATGGCTAGACATCATATATCAAAATAGTTGTCAGCAAGCAAACATATCTAAATATTTCAAATCAAGTATGGTTGTCTCTAGTGGTTAAACCTGGAATTACTGTTCTTGTGAATTACTATTCAAGTATGGCGAACTCTGGTGTTTGAATTTACAATTGCAAATCTTCCTGCCAATTGTCATGTCAATTGTCATGGAACTTAATTCATTCAACACTATACAATTCGTAACTTAATTAGACATGGCGCATCTGTTGCATCATATGCGCGTCACTCGTCTTGACAACAACAAAAAAAAAATGCATGTACGGAGCCTACCTTAAGTGATTATCCTCCAGCCAAAATCTGGTGGCAAACTTAATTTTGTGATCAACTCTCCTAATTATTGGGAGCCTTTGAGATTGATGTCGGGGGTCATGCAGCATGAGGTACACGAGACAGGAGCCTACGCAGTAGGGCAATGCCCCCAATTTCCTAGTCAATTGTTTTGAATCTGTCATACAAACGACTGCGCCTTACAGACCAACATTTTCTTGGCCTTCATATATTAGTTGGCTAATCATCGTAATCCGGTTCTGGCATTTAACTGAGATGTAAAACGCTCAATAAACAATTACAGAGATTGAATTCACAAGGCATTCAGAGGGGAAAAAAATGGAAAGAAAAACCTACAATCATTTCGAAAATCACATTTCCAATCAATTCTACACCTGTCAAAGAAGTCAACAGCATTACTTGTACCGTAAGGTTTGACTTTGGACATAAAATGGTGGAAATGAGAAAGTTGTGCTTGATCCACAGGCCCTAATCACAGCCATCTTCAGTCTATACTGTATGTATTCCGCCTTGGGGACAAATTATAATTACCGTACTCAGCATGTGTACTTGGGGTTGCCAATGAGAAATCCCGAATCAATGAGCCCGAAAATGGAAACCTTGAAAAATGGAACTAGCAGAAGA